ATTTTTGCATTGTGGGCATCTATATTCGGGTTTCTTGGTCACATGTGTACCCAAATGCTGGCGAAGATGTGCACGTAAATTGTCCAAACGAAAGAAAGATTTATCACATACTTTACATTTCATAGTATCGGTGCCATCGGCTGAGCAAGAGGAATACTTCTGATGGCGTTTGAGGTGATACGCCCGAGTAAAGTCCTTTCCACATATTTTACAAGCGAAAGGCTTTCCACGATTTTTATGCTGTTCTTCGTGTAATTTTAACAAATTTGCACTGCGCAATTTCGCATTACAAATCGAGCAAGGATAGTCATTGAATTCAGAATGTGTTATAAATATATGACGCTCATAGCTCACTTGCGATTTGAACGATTTTGGGCAATCGGGGCAGTTTATATGTCCTAGCTAATATAGTAAAAAATTATAATTAATCAGCACGCGTGCTAAAATATAAGGCTTCTTGATTATTCCAATACATACGTGAAATGTGTCATAACTTTCGCCGCAGCAAAAACATACATCTTTGTTCTCCATTGTAATAGCATCTTTTTCGATCTTGTCAAGGTTTTTTAGCATTTCATTTTTTCGCAAATGATATCCACAGTCATACCGACAGAATTCCATATGATTTTTTAGCCCCTAAATTAAAAAAATTAAATTAAAATGCGATAATTAAACTGTTTGGGTTGATTACAATAAAAAAATATACAAACACATACACTTGCATGTATACTTACACTGAAACGTCGAAAAGTTTTGTAGCATTTGCCGCATACATGCTCCACCATCTCGCTTTTTCCGTCAGTGTCTTCAGGTTCATCATCGCTAATTTGTAACTCTTCAGCAGCTTCACCTGCAGCACTTGTTACATCTTTTTGCTTTTCGGTCTGATCCGACAGTACGAAAGCTATTGTCTCCACACCCTCAACACTTCCTTCTTCTTTAATAGTTTTCAGCACATAATGATCCATATCTGAATTATTCGCTGGAGTAGCATCGCTATTTGATATAGAAAGTTTGACATGCTTAGGGGATGTACTTGATTCGGAACTATTTGGTTTCGCACGTTTAGCAGCGCGTTGATTTAAGATTTTCACAGCGCTGCTGGGTTCTTTGACCGTCGGGCTAGATTTTTTGATAGTATCACCCATATTGTCTGAAATAAAAATTAAAAAAAAAAACATATGTGTGCATATTTATATGTAAGTACGTACATATACAAATACGATTAATGGATATTTTCATATAATAAACACGAGTTTTTACTATCAACCTTATATTCAAAGCGTACTAACTAAAAATACATAGGTATATTAGGGCTGTTAAGGATATTGGTCAAATGATACAAACATTGCATTTGGTCACAGAAACCAAGGTTGTGAAAAATTGCTCGCGCCATTTTTCCCTAAAATGGAATTAATAACGGGAGAATAAATTCCGATAACTAAACAAAACTGGACGCAAATATTAGAATTAATGTATGGTAGATACAACTATAATTTTCCGAAATGCGGAATAATCTTGCCGTACTAGTTGATCCTTAAAATGGTGTGGCTGCGCTCTTATATATGTATATTTACTTTTTTCAAATTCCCTTTTCCATAAATTTCTGCTAATTTTGTTATCGAAATCCTGGTTAAGATGGAATAACATTCGCTTGATCCATTGTCTGCAAGTTTAGTCGAGGGATTAAATCAGTAGGCGTAAAGACACAATTTTCAAGGAAATTTAGTAATTCGTACCAATTTTCAAATAAAATGCTGTAAATTAAGTGCTTCTTTGTATGTTAGAAAACTTAGTTTAATAAAACAAAAGAATGTAATATATATTGTAGAGATCAATGTTTTTGCATTTTTAGAAGTAATATTCATTTTTATATAAGAACCAAAAAAGTTCGCAACTAAAGAACTTGACTTTCTATTAATTTTATTAATCACAATATATGTATGTATGAACATATGTATGTATGTATGTCAGTGCATAATTTATTTAAATATAGAATAAGGAATTTTTTTTTTCTTTGTGTAGTGATGAATCAAATTAATAGAAAGCCAAATTTATCTTTGTGGAGTGATGAATATAATGAATGGAAAGTCAAGTTTTTTATTTGAGAACTTTTTTTATTGAAGATTTCAACTATTTAGATGCTGCAATTGTTTTTTCTTTCAATTGATCAAATTTATTATTACATATATAATGATAAGTACATTTCATACGCGTTCTTCAAAAACGATTTAATTCAAAATTTGTGGTTTTTCATGGGCTAAATTTATTCACCGCCCTTATTGTATTTTCTTATAATTTGCTGAAAAAATATAAATTACTTAAAGACTCCCTTGCCCATATGATTAACATGTGCTCCGGGGGACTGAGCTTATACGCTTTAGAAGAACGGGTACAATATGTAAGTATGAATAATAGGTAAGTAGATAGAAGAATTTAAATTTCTTGCAACTAAAAAATTTAACCTATTTATTGTAAGATATTTTGCCACACAAGGACGAGTGAGATCTCTCTTTTTTTAACCTTATTATAAGAGACAACTGATTCCAATAACCTGCTTAGAACACAAAAATCGTTACCAATTTTTAGGCACTGTATGTATTTAAAAAACTATTGAACGTCCGATACGAAAAAGTGCCAACGTCAGCAACGCCTAGAAGCAGTATAGCACACTATAAATAAATAAAATTTCGATGGAAGCAAACTAATCTTGAGGCGCAAGAGCCATGGCCGTGTCGCGTATATATAAAATTGGACGAACGCACACACTCTGACACACATGTGTTAACATCGGTAGCAAAACGAATGCAACAAGTCTTTATCCAAACTTTGAATTTCAAAGCCCTATATTTGCACATCCAGAAGTTGCGAGAAAGCGACCACCATTGGGAATGCAATAAATAAGTTACTCTGCCTATTTTGTTAAAATGATTTGCATATTTTTTATGTTACTGCAAATATTCATACATTTTCCTCGAGGTTAAACTGCAAATAATTATTTATTTGTAGATAAGCGCTCAAATTCCTTCGCTATCGGCTCTCAATGTTACTTCCAATACTTCACACCGCATTATAATAAGTCTAATTTTAATACAAATTGATTACGATGCACTTCTTGCAAATATTTATCTCAGATTTACAATAAATCCTAATTTATTTGCATAGTTTTTCGTACAATTTTACAGAATTTACCTAATTTTATGCTTTAAAAACGAATTCCACAACTTTCCATGAAATGCAATAGCGGCGTTGCCATACTTTGACGCCATTGATTTTTCTGAAAAATAAAATCTATTACAATTAAAAGGTATGAACTAAACAGCTGCACTAATGCATTTATTTGCAGAAGATCCCTCAAGGTTTCAAGCACAGTATACCAGTGGAAAAGGTTTTTGTTGTTGTGGCTGTTAATTTGGTCCCCATAAAGGACCTGAGGGTTTCGAGCAACTGTTTGGCCGCATTCAGGGTGCTGTGCAGCAAAATAACGTGGTGAAAATTTTTAACATCGGTTAAATGGCGAGAGAAATATTGTTATGTGGTTTATAAGTTAACATGCACGTAAAAAAATACTTTATACTTCAATACAACTAATTTGCGGTATTTTTAAAATTCGAAGTGATCTTAAAAATATTTGTTATGAAATATGTACTTTATGAGCTATATGAAAACTATGTTATATGCAAATATATATTCCGATTTACTTTAAATAACTGGTGTAAAATGTTATTTATATGGATCTAATTTTAATAATAATATTTATTACCTTCACCTACATTACTTTTAATGCATGTTTTCACGAGTAGTTGCAGTTTTCTTCAATTGTCTCTAGCAGACTATACCCGTTAAAACTAAATAATTTCACAATTTCTACCCTATTATAGGTTTATATTTTAATAAAATGGGATCAATTACTGAAGATTATATAAACTCCGATCAAATTATAGTACTGAATACTTGTGGAACAATTATTTAAATTAAATGATCAATAGTGAACGCACTCGGAGTATATTTTGGAACACGGAGCGAACTATGCATATTAAGACTAAATAATTTCTCATAAGCTTATGTTTTAATATAATATGATTAATTACTGAAGAATATATTAACTCCGATCAAACTATAGCATTAATAGTTTGACAAACTATAGGAGTGTTCGCTATGCAAAAAATTTGTACAAGTTGGTACCAATTGTTCGTGTTCGTTTAGCCAAAAACCCAGTAAAACTTGCAAAGAGAGAGCACAATTCTGACATTTCATTTGGAGGGGAAGTTGCAAATTCGTGCTGGGAAAATTTTTGCCAGTAAGAATTTGCAAGCAGGATTGTGGCACACGGTTGCATTTTTGTCAACATTCATTTGAATCAACGAGTTCGTTAAATTCAAAAATGAACTATCTTGTTGCATTTGGTTTTATTCAATACCGATTTGAGCTGTCGCACAGTGGTATCAAAAAAAAGCTATCAATGGGTAGGTTCAGAAGGCGCAGCAGTTGAGCGCAACCGCCGCTAAAAAAAATCAGTGATCGTTATGCGTTTTCTGAACGACTTCATACATTAGCTGTCAAATTCAATTCTCAAAGGTACACACCAACATGTTGTCTCAAATGATCAGAAAAATATTAGGATCATCTACCACGCAACTATTCAGTTGATCAGAAGTACGCGACAACGCGTTCAGAAGGTGCAATCGCACCAGTTACTGAGCTGTTGCGCCTTCTGAACGTGCCCAATGAAAATGCGTTTCTCTTGAAATCTAGTTAAATCTACGTTATTTTTTATAAATAAGGCCGTAAACATTTCTTAACATCGTCAATTTCCATATTCTATTTTTACACTTTCAATTTCACTGACCAGCGCCGCAAACGTGGTTTTTATCCGCATCCCGATCATTGCCAAAAAAAACACAGCAAAGAGTTTTGGTTAGTAATAATTTAGGTGGCAATTGTTTTATTTTCTGAAAGCTGGTATCACCGACTGCTTCTTCTTCAGTGTGCCATAAAATTTCGTCTGGCAAAGTGGATGTTTGTGCGTTTTCGCGATTAGTGCTATTTTAATTGAAATGTGTAAAATATTTCTAAATAAATGTTAACCGAAGTTATCAGTGCAATTGATAAGAAAATTAGTAAGCACCTGAGTAATATAACAACGTTTCAAGCAAATTGCTCTGACCATTAACACTACATATATATGTATAGTACATATGATGGTGTGGGCGCTGATGCAGTGGAATTGAAGCGACTGCTGTAGTTATTTTTCGAGAATACCCAAAGGAAAGGAAGAAAGAAGGTATGTACATTCATACGTAGTATATAAGTGGAATGAGATCTCTTCGTATATCTTCTCATGTGTTAGTACGTACTGGTGTTGTGCAGTGCGTGTACAGAAGAAAATAATTAAAAAAATTGAAATTCTTTATGAGCTTGAATCAAAACTACTTTGTAGTTGCTAAATTTAATCTAATTATAAAGGATAAAAAGCAGGTTGAAAACGTGGAAAGAATAAACTGCTCAATAGTGAGGTAGTTATATATGTATTGTGAAAAATCAATACAACCCCTGGTACTTCACCACCACCCTCTGGCAATTACATCTTGGCTTGTAGGATTCAGATTAAGTGTGTATACAGAGATAAGGAAAAACGGATTCTGTGAGTACATAAAAAAAGTAACTAAAATTCAAATGGTGAGGCACAATTAATAATTTAAAATTTAACTTTTTGCAATAGAAAAACCAACCGTATATTTGCGAGTCAATTGACTGAAATTAATGAATTAAGCACTTTAATAATGCCTAAAATGGTATTGGTCCTGATACGTTGTTCGCATGAGGCGATTTTCCAAGCAATTTTAGTTGAATCAAAAGTTGGGTGCACCCCAACTTTATTGTAAGCCATTAGTTGAAAGGCCGTTCACACCAGGCGATTTCTGCTTTCAACTAAAAGTTGCCTATAAAATCGCCTCATGCGAACACCATATAAGATGTCAACGTGCAAACCTACTTATTACATGTACATAAATCCATAAATATTGTAAGGGAGTAACCGATGACATTTAAAAAACCGTACATACTGGGTTTATAATCATGTCCAGTTATATCTTTCTATATATTTGGTGTAGTATATGTAAGCTTATCAACATACCTACATATACATATATGTATGTATGCATATACATATAAAGTAGGTGCAATCCCGTATTCCTCGGACTAAAACTAGTACAACTGTCAAAAAATAAAAATTCGCTCAGAACTGTTAAACTATAATTAAATGGGCCATAAAACTGCGTACTCAACAGGATTTGAACACTTCTGAGAAAAAAGTTAGAAATTTAGGTGGAAATTTGTTGCATTCTATTGTAGTCTTTTACAAAATTTAAAACTTGAGTTTATATGGTTTCTCTTTAGAGAATGAACTGTATCCTAATTGAAAATTCTTAAAAATGAGTAATTAAACATAAGTGAAAAATAATATCACTTTGAAATGGGAGTGCTATAGATATGACCAATACTGTACATATATCTATGTATGTGAATATGTACATATGCATGTATAAACGTGCATAAAGTACCAACGGGTTCCAAAAAAAAAATATGTGTCCGTCCATATGTTTTACATACTGATACAGCTGCTCACCCTCATTGGTGTGGACAGAATCGTTCATATGAAGCGAACTTGGTTGGATCGTTGTATGCTTATTTTACGGTTTTTTTTTATAATCTTCTGCATTTGGTTATATGAAAATATGTACATATGTATATTAGACCGCATTATCAAAAAAAGTTGCGATTTTTCCGCCGGGATTACAAAATGAATTATATTTTAAGACTACCAAAATATTTCGGAAAAACATTAAGATTTACGTGAACTGTACTGATTGGAAATATCTTCAAAAATAGAGTTTTTAATGAATAAAAATAGTTTCTTAAAGGATTTTGTGGTAAAAATCTCCTCAAATGACTGTTTAAGCTTTAAAAATCTACATAAAATTGTACAAACCTTTTTTCAACGGAATCATAATAATGACATATTTGATGCACTTTTTAAATTTTTTCAAAGATTTGTTTAAGAAAAACTTGAATAACTGGGCAAAAATTATATCGATATAAACTTGTGAGGTATCTGTGGAAAAATATTTTCTGACCCTTTTTATTTCTTTGCAAAAAAACTCATTCACGTCCCAATTTTTCTTTATAAAATACCAACACATCTTAATTCAACATAAAATGAGGCTCGTTTGTCTTACCTTTCTCTTTCATGCTTTTAATGAGCTTATTTGCAAAGAGATAAAAAGGGTTAGAAAACTCCTTTCCAACGATACCTTATAAGTCTGAATCGGTAAAGTTTAGGCTGAGTTATTCAAGATTTTTTATAAACCAGTTTGAAAAAAAGTTCAAAAACTGCATCACCAATCTCTTTATTGTGATACCGTCGATTTTTTTTTAGATATTTTTATGCAAATTTTTTAAGCGTAAGCTGTATTGTCATCTAAGGTGATTATTTTTCCAAAAAAATACATAAAAAACTGTTTTTATTCACAAAAAACTCACATTTTTGGAAGTATTTTAAAATCGGTCTAGCTCACGTAAATCTTAATATTTTTCCGAAATATTTCGGTTAGTCTTACAGCCGATTTCTCAGTTGATAAATAACTATAGGTTAATAAATAATTAGTAAATCAATAGTTAACTGTCCAATGGTGGCGAATTAAGTATGAGTTAAACATCTATTAAGTACACTGAAAACTGACCAGAAGAGATAATCTTTTGGTTATAATTAAACATCCATTGAGCAATAATGTTAAAATATAAGTTGCGATCCCGTACGAGTCGGACTAGTCAGAATCAGTCAGATTTTACTGGAAATCGATCCCGTACTCGGTTCTCTGACTATTGAGAGGACAAAAAAGAGAGTAAATACGGTTCTCTCTCTGTCAGAAGTTACCAGTTTTAGTCCGAGAATTTGTTCCTGGTAAATTCTGGTAAATGTGTCAAACGATCAGCTGTGTTTGGCAACCAAATTTTAAACAAAAGAAAAGTGCACTCTGCTAATTCATGTTGAAAAGAGTTTAATTACTTGTTTAAGTGGATTCTAATGAATTTGAAAGTATTTTTGGTTATTTACATGTGGGAGCTGAGTGTGTTTACATACAAAATAAGCAAAAATTTACAACCAAAATTTGAAGGTTATGTTGAAGTTGACAGAAGTTACCATTTTTTACTAGAAAGCGATCCCGTACTTTTCAATGTTACTCTCTCGCTCTGAGCGAATTTTCATTTTTTGACGGTTTTACTAGTCCGAGTCCGAGGAATACGGGATTTCACCTAAAATAGACTTTATAATTCCCGTGGAAAAACAGTACCGTTTTTTTTTTTTGTTTTGTATGTGGAATGATGCAGTCTAATGTATATACATACATATATATTTTCATACATACTTATGTATGTATTAAAACGTATTTATTTACATACATAAATATGTACTCTAAATGTACATACAATAAATATAGTTTCATATGTACTACATGTATTAGAGGTTTACGCCGACAGGCTTTGCGGCGGCGGCGTGGTCAACGTCAAATAGAATCAGCGGCGGCGGTGAAAACACCGGCGTCACTGCCCATACAGTAGATTCCAAAGAGCCATGATATTACTAATCTTATCATGTCATCTCGTCAGCGTTTGCCATTCGCCATGCCAATTGAGATTATAATTCTATTAAATTCATTCTCGAATTAGTTTTAAATTTGAATATTGTTTCTTTCTACTTGAATTAAAATGTTGAGTGCCTGACGCAGGAGGATGGGTGAAAAGAGGGGGTTCTGAGGTATATACATATCGTCGTTCTGCAAAATCGCATAACTGAAATTTTTTGCCAAAAATTGGATTTTCTTGCACAAACTTTTGGCTAAAGCCTCATCTATCCATTCGTCCTGAAATATGCTAGCCATAAATGCGATTGCTTTATGAAAAAAGAGAATAATTTTGAATTATGAGTGGTTTTACACTCAAGAAAATAAAATATGCAACCTCACATTATCTTGATACGCGGTTATGCATTTTGTTGATACGCGGCTTTGTACTTTAAACGACGATATATGTATATATGGGTATCTATGTTCTCTACAGATCCGTATGTACTATTTAAATTTAAAGAAATAGAAAAATTGAAAAGAGTAAGTTATGGGAGTAATTTATGTCGCTATTAATAAATTTTTGTAATAATCGTATCTACCGTTATGTTAAGTTACGGAGTATTTACGATTTTTTGCGGATTGTAGTTTGAAAACAAGTGTGGTCTACTTTTTTCCAACAGTTTTACCCATCAACTCCCACCAGATCGGGCATTTTTCACCCACTGTTTAAAAAATTTGCTTATAGATGGTTAAAATTTCCAATAGAATATTAACCGCCAATTTTTTTTTTAACAATAACCGAATGTAATACTAATTTTCACGAAAAAGAGGGAACCCTGTATAGAAAGCATTGCGATGCGATGGAGCAAAACCCTCTTATGAATGCTAGCCCAATTTTCACACAGCCACACCTAGTACTTGTGTACGTCTGTGCGACCCCAGAATAAAATACCTTAGGAATGTTAAAATTTGCTTTTTATTAAAAATCTTTTTAAAAAATAGGGCTCTTCTGTTAAAACTGCTTTAAGCGCTAAAGTTTTGATGTGTAATAAATTTTTTGTTATTGTAGTATATAACAAAAAAAATATTGATTAAGTACTGCGAAAAAAAATCATCAGATTACCAGTGTTCGACCCAAGGCACATTGAACAGGTAGTATCAGTAGAGCAGCTGATTTGATTTATTTTCAAATGAAGTGGTCTCGAAAATGTCAAATATTTAAATTTTTCTCACAAAAATTCTACATTGTTAAAATCTATTTGTACCAGTGGTAAACTATACAATAAAAATATAAATATACAATAAAAAACCTTTGATTAAGTACACTTTAATATATTACACATTTTTATTAAGCAGCCTTAGATTTACCAATAATTAGTGTTACATTTTTTGAGTATTAATTAAAAGTAAAAATAAATACATAGTAAATACTTCAAGCTTTCGATCATAAATTTAAATAGTAAATATGCAAAAAAATTATTTTAGTTAAAAATAAAATAAATACTTAAGTTCATTTTCGAGTGAACTTATATAAAAATAAAACTTTTCATTAAATTAAATTAAATTCAGTTATTAAATATTCCAAATTTTTGTCTATAGTTTGGTTAAGTATCTTAATCGTATAATTGAAAAAAGTCAAAAATAATTGAAAATCATC